ACTGACGTGATACTTTTTGCAATCTGCAGGAGCCATGACTGTTCTTCATTCCAGGTTAGAATCCGCAGAAATCCCTGCTGTACCGAAAGCTTGTCCTCAAAATTGTATGTTAGGGCAAATAAAAAAAGTAACACTTCAGTACTCAGTTGTTTCTGCCAGAATGACTTCAAAACTCGATGCAAAAACCGCTCCAACACCTCCACACTCAACTCCACGTACTACCCACAGACTCCAGCATGCACGGGGCTGCCACTATAAACCTGCCAGGTGCAATTCATCCTGGGGAAACTTGCTTTGTATTGCGAAAAAAAATCTGTAATTGCATTGAAAACCAATTAATCCATTCCAAAGGTCAGAAAAAAGTAAAAAAAAAAGTCTTATCTGTTCAAAACTCTTTATAAAGCGCACTTTAAAGGCACGGGCCTGGCGCTATAAACCTCCCAGGCGCAATTCATCCTGGGGAAACTTGCTTCGTATTGCAAAAAAAAATTCATAAATACATTGAAAACCAATTAATCCATTCTGGAGGTCAGAAACAAGTAAGAATAAAGTCTTATCTGTTCAAAACTCTTTATAAAGTGCACTTTAAAGGCACGGGCCTGGCGCTATAAACCTCCCAGGCGCAATGCATCCTGGGGAAACTTGCTTCGTATTGCGAAAAAAAAAAATTGTAAACCAAAGCATTTTCAATGAATTTACGTTTGTAAACCAAAAATTACATTAACCGAGGTGTTCGTAAAGAGAGATACGCCTGTATAGCAGAATTAAGTTCGCCCCTCCACCACAGTTTACTTTCTCATGTGGCCCAATGGGAAAATGAATTGCCTATCCCTGGCCTAAGGCCTCATTCACATGTAAGTCCTAGAGTCCATGAATTGGATATGTGTTTTTGTGGCTTAAGCTGCCTGACAGTGCATGCAGGAAGCCCATTCAAGTCTATGAGGGATGTAGTGGAAACACAGCCGCTCGTCACAATGTGATAGTCCTCAATGGATGAAGACTGTACTAAAAAAAAAGTCTAACTTTAGTTTCTAAGTGCAGATATGTGAAGGGGCCCTCAGTGGACACTGTAAGTGAGCACGATTGCATTAGAGGTCATGTCCACTTTGAATGCACCCATGTTGCTGTGCAATGCTCTTGGTAAAATACGGACATGCTGCCCTGCAGCTATCAAACCTGCCTGTACTAAAAGGTGATCACATCTCCTGTACAAGAGATAGCTTCTACGCAGTATCTGATCATGGACCCGTTCTATTCATTTACAGTATTCCCCATCTTTATCTAGTTGGTCCAGCTAGGTGTGCCATGTGGTCAGGGGTGTATTTACCACAAGGCATTTGCCTAGGGTGGCATTTTTCAGGGGGGGCAGCACTGCCCCTTGGAAGAAGGGACAAGCGTGGCATGGGGACCTCTTGGGTTCCGAGAGAGGCTGCGGGTTTCATGACAGTGAATGCATAGCCCGACTCTCGTTCCTGGGGATGTCCAGAGCTGTGAAGGTTAGTCTCTCTCTCTCTCGCCATGGGGGGCAGTGGTAGTGAAAGGCTCTCTTGGGTGGGGGGCTGGGGTGTTGTTGATCAATGTTAGTCTCTCTGGGGAAGGGGGGGGCACATTTTGTGTTGCCTAGGGCAGCACAAAACCTTAATACACTACTGCATGTGGTGCATTTACAGTTGAATAGATCTGTGTGTATGTACTGTACCCCATTAAATGATCTTGTCTTACAGATCTCAGTCTCCACCTGGTCATGGTCAGAAAAGGAAAACCTGACACTCAGCTGCAAGCAGAGCTCAGGAACCGGCTGCGCCTGCTGGAGAATGACAGTAAGGAGGTTGCTGCCGTCTTCTGCGTAAGTTCATATACTATTGATAAAGCCAGGCACTTGGAGAAGAAGTGTAAAATCAGCACAGTGCAGATTGATATGCATTTATTTCAGCTTACTGCTTCAGCATTTCTCTTCTTGTAGCTAAAATAATGCCTATTCAGTGTAAAGGAAACTGAGGAAGTATTGAGGTTGTCATTGCTGACCTCTCCTCCTAAAAATAATAGTTACTTGTCAGTCTTTCATCATTACTCTCAGAGTCACTGACCGGAACGAGGGTGTAGATTAGGGGCTCTTGATTTGACTTACACTTTTCTCATTTTATTTTATTTTTTTATTTCAGGTACTTATATAGCGCTGTCACTTTATGCCATGCTTTACATATATATATTGTACATTCACATCAGTCCCTAACCCTCAAGGGTGTACAATCTAAGGTCCTTAACTTACATTCATACATACACATACTAGGGCATATTTAGACAGGATCCAATTAAAGCGGAGCTTCACCCAAAAGGGGACATTCCGCTTTAAGGACTGCTCCCCATTAAGGATTGGCACCTTCGGGGGGGGGGGGGGGGGGGGGGGTAGCGGGTACCCAAATTTGACAGGTACCTGCTCCCACTTTCGGTCCGATTGCCTAGGCGATTGGAAACGGAAGGTGTCCTCCCTCCCTGTAGTCTTTTGGGACACATGACAGGTCCCAGAAGACTACAGGACCATTCATGAAGCGCAGCGCTACTCACGTATGCGCAGTGGGTACCCGGCTGTGAAGCCACAAGCTGTCACAGCCGGGTGCCCACAACGACTCCTGGGATACAGGCCGGTCGGTGAAACGAGCTGCGGGGGACACACCGCGGGACCGAGCAACAGGTAAGTGGCTGTTTTTTAAAAGTCAGCAGCTACAGATTTTGTAGCTGCTGACTTTTATTTTTTGACAGCGTGATTGGAACTCCGCTTTAACCTACCAGTATGTCTTTGGAGTGTGGGAGGAAACTGGAGTACCCGGAGGAAACCCGCGCAGGCACAGGGAGAACATGCAAACTCCAGGCAGGTGGTGCCTTGGTTGGGATTCAAACCAATGACCCTAGTACTGCCAGGCAGAAGTGCTAACCATTTAGCCGCTGTGCTGCCCATTTGCATGTTCATTGTAGGTCAATTACTCAAAAAGCAAACAAACGGAGGCAACTAGGGAACTAGCAGGGCTCAAATCTGCCTCTACTCAGCCTATGAGTTGGTTTTATATATAGATCTGCAATATAATGCTTTTTAAGATAATACCTTTTTGTTTTTTGTTCTCTTTTTTAGTTTTTTCACTTTAGCATAGCACAGTAAAGCATTCTTAAAGTGTTACTAAACTCCGGACCCTGCATCCTCTATATCTGGTCTCCCACAGTACACACAACATGGAAATGCAATTATTTTAGTAAATTTAGACTGCTAAATACCTTTTCTCATGAGCAGTTAGAGCAGTCTTGTGACTTTTATCAGTGTCCAGCAGAGCACTGGTTAAAGCTTGTAGGAGGAGTTTTCATTCTCCCCTGATTGTCCTAGGAGACTGCATAACCCCTGACCCTCTGTCTGGACAGTGCTGACTGGCCCTGGGCTGATCACATGAACTTTCCCAAGAGAAAAAAAAAACTCTCTAGCAATGCACACCAAACTGAGCATATGTGGCTTGCCCCCAAGACTTTGTTCTATCAGCAGATGAATTGGGGACAGTAGATGGGGAGGATCAAAGAAGACAGGATCAAAAATCCTTTTTACACAATGCAGAGGATTAACCTTAACCATTAATCCACAGTAAGTATACCAAGCATGCTTTACTGCAGACTGATTTTACTGTTGTGGGTTTAGTAACACTTTAACAAAAAGGAAATTATTCACATACCTCATCTTACCATATATCCCAAAAATAAAAGGAAAATTTCCACTTTCAGGACAGTGGACAGAGCCAAGAAATTATTGCTTTAGCCCCTCTAGCCAGATGTCTATCTAGATCTAGATGTGAAATGCAAATATATCCTAATAATATAGAGCCATTTGTCCAAATTGCATACAGGTGTTTCAGGCTATTTAGGCATCATCAGTGCAGTGTATGGAAAAGATTGCTTTTATTTAGTAGGATTTGGGGCCCAATGAGACAGTGGGGTTTATTCACTAAAGCTGGAGAGTGCAAAATCAGGCTAACTTCTGTATAGAAACCAATCGGCTTCCAGGTTTTATTGCTGAAGCGTAATTGAACAAGTGGAGGTTAAAAGCTGATTGGTTTCTATGCAGAAGTGAGCCTGATTTTGCACTCTCCAGCTTTAGTGAATAAGCCCCACTGTGTCCTGTATTATTATACTGCCTACATCTTAGAATACGCTCCAATACCTTTTCAGTGCTTTGTATTGCATTGCAGTATATCCTCCTGGGTACATCTGGCCCTGTTTTTGTGCAGCCTGCCGAAGGGATCATATGGTTAGCAAAGGAATTGTACTAGAAATACGAACCTGTTTAAAATGTTTATAAATGCAGCTGTGATGAATTCCACAAAGGTATTGTTGTTCATTATCTTGCAGGCTGGGCTTCCAGCTGTGTTCTCAGACATATATGATACATTTCAAAATACAAGGTAAACATTTTTAACGAATACTGGCACAGATAAAGTAAAACCTGCCTTGTCACAAGTTATTGGCATTCATAAATCCATAGTGCCTTCAGATTCGGAGAGAGATTATGACCAGAGGGGCATATTGTGCAGTAAAGCAGGCCTTTACCCAAAAACTTGTTACCCCCTCATTCCCTTCCATCTTTAGCCTCTAATGACATTGCAGATTTGTGTGTGTGTGGTCAAGTATCTCTCTTTTCTTTGAAAGTACCTGCTTGAATGTCCTCAATCCTTGCCCTGGTCCTATCACTCCCTCTCTTCCTGTCCTCAGAACCAGACTCATTGCAGCCCTCAGTCCAGGGGCAGACTGACCATTTGGAAACTCAGTCTTGTGACTTTTATCAGTGTCCAGCAGAGCACTGGTTAAAGCTTGTAGGAGGAGTTTTCATTCTCCCGATTGTCCTAGGAGACTGCATAACCCCTGGCCCTCTGTCTGGACAGTGCTGATTGGCCCTGGGCTGATCACATGAACTTTCCCAAGAGAAAGGGCCCGGGGTCAGTAGGGGGCCCCATGAGATGCCCTGGTACCTTTTTCATAGGCTTTTTTGAGTTTGGGCAAGGACACAGGGGCCCCATGATCCCCTATTGCCCGGGGGCCCCATGAGTTGTCAGTCGGCCCCTGCCTCAGTCTCATGCATGTGCAGTGGGGAGCTGGCTGTGAGTCGTTAGGAAGTGAGGCCCTGAGAAGAATCAGTTGCTTCATATAAGTCATTTTTTACATGTCATGGGGAAGTTCTTCTTTACAGTGTTACTAAACCCAGGGACCCTGCATTCACTAGATCTGGTCTCCCACAGTACACACAACATGGAAATGCAATTATTTTAGTAAATATAAACTGCTAAATACCTTTTCTCATCAGCAGTTAGAGCAGTCTTGTGACTTCAGCAGAGCACTGGTTAAAGCTTGTAGAATGAGTTTTCCTTCTGCTCTAGGAAGCTGCATAACCCCTGTCCCTTTATCTGGACAGTGCTGATTGTCCCTGTGCTGATCACATGCACTCTCCCAAGAGGAAAAAAAAAAAAACCTCTAGCAATACACACTAAACTGAGCATGTGCAGAAGGACTTCAGTCTGTCTTATCAGTGTGGATATTTGAACAAGAGGAGGGGCAGAGAAAACAGGATCAAACAGCCTTTTTACACAATGCAGAGTATTAACCCCTTAGGTTCCACAGTGAGTATAACAAGCATGCGTTACTGCATTTACAGACTGATTTTACTGTTGTGGGTTTAGTAACACTTTAATGGGTGGACACCCTTACTATAGAAAAAATAAGAGCTGCTATATAAAGCATATCATTTATGTTGGGTAGGCATTGATCTGAGTGGCTTCAAAAGATCTATTGTGACTTTGTTTTATGTGTCAGGCTGTAACTAGTATTGCTGTCTCGAAATTTCTGTCTCCTTAACATTGGACAGATAAGCCATTTGTCAATCAATGAACAGCAAACATACCTTTGCATTTCTTGTGCCAGGTTGTAACACTTTCCAGAATATACATTGTGCTGCGGCTTTTCATATGTCATCATTAGGTGGCTGTTATCATAACAAAATTATGTGCTGCTATATCAAACCAAATTATCTCTTATTTGTGCATAGTGTATGGAGCTGCTGCAACCACCCAGCAGTGTACTCAACCACCAAAAAACCTAAATAATAATAGTGTAGTAGTGCACTGCTCCTTTAAAAGAAAAAAATTACTTTCATGAATTTCAAACTACAATAATATAACCAAAATCCTAAATGTAAACACCGTATAAACAATCAACAATAAAGTACGGTACATACATATCCACAAGCAGTGTCTCAAATATATAACACACGTGTGCAGTGTTCAACTTCCAACCAAATGTCTCTCAAATTTAAAAAAAATAAATATAAAATTATATATATATATATATATATATATATATATATATAAATATAAAGTCCTTCTGTGTGACACTCCACTCAGAATAAAATAGGCAAAAGCAAAATAAGCAAAAGCTAGCTACCACTTCACACGTAAGGTCCATTTAAGGTCCCGATTCCAAATTCTTGCAATTCCAAAGTCACTCAAACATAAAATATGGATGTGCTCATAGTGCAACACATGATGCATGTATTACAGTCAATAGTGCACTCACATATATAAGAAAAAAAATTGAACAGTAAAATGATGAGAAGCCAACTTCTCAACAGACATCTGTTTTTTTTCGTATGTAACGTCACCAGCACTGCCTGATGTGTTGCGTCATGGGTTACATGACCTCTTCAGAGTAAGCACCTTGCTCTGAAATTCACGTGACCAGTAACATGGGGGGAGATTTACTGAAACTGGTTCACTCAGAATCTGGTGCATTGTACACGGTAGCCAATCAGCTTCTAACTTCAGCTTCAATTTACCGTATTTTTCGCTCCATAAGACGCACTTTTTTCCCCCCAAAAAAGGGGGGAAAATGTCAGTGTGTCTTATGGAGCGCATATAAAGTGGCCGGTCCGGTATTTCTGCCGCCACCATGTCAGAATACCGGGCCGGCCGCTCAGCTGTTCTCTCCTGCAGGGCCTTACCTGTTCCTCGCTCCAGCGCTGCACAGTCTTCCTGCGGTGGCTTCTGTGACAGCCGGATGTCCACTGCGCATGTGCTGCGCTTTGTGAATGATCCGCTGTCTTCTGGGACACATGACAGGTCCCAGAAGGCGCCGGGCCATTCACAAAGCGCAGCACATGCGCAGTGGACACCCGGCTGTCACAGAAGCCAGCCCGGGAAGAAGAGGGAAGGACAACTCCGCAGAAGTGGGAGCGGGTATCTGTCAAATTCAGGTACCCGCTCCCCCTCCCTCCCTAAAGGTCAGCAGTCTCTGGTCATTCCCTGCACTGTCTGCAGTCTCTGGTCATTCCCTGCACTGTCTGCAGTATCTGGTCATTCCCTGCACTGTCTGCAGTCTCTGGTCATCTCCTGCACTGTGTCCGCAGTCTCTGGTCATCTCCTGCACTGTGTCCACAGTCTCTGGTCATCTCCTGCACTGTGTCCGCAGTCTCTGGTCATCTCCTGCACTGTGTCCGCAGTCTCTGGTCATCTCCTGCACTGTGTGTCCGCAGTCTCTGGTCATCTCCTGCACTGTGTCCGCAGTCTCTGGTCATCTCCTGTACTGTGTCCGCAGTCTCTGGTCATCTCCTGTACTGTGTCCGCAGTCATCTCTGGTCATCCCCTGTACTATGTCCACAGTCTCTGGTCATCTCCTGTACTGTGTACTGTCCGCAGTCTCCTCTGGTCATCTCCTGTACTGTGTCCGCAGTCTCTGGTCATCATCCCTGTACTGTGTCTGCAGTCTCTGCATCTCCTGTCTCTGGTCATCTCCTGTACTGTGTCTGCAGTCTCTGGTCATCCCCTGTACTGTGTCTGCAGTCCATTGGTTCAGAATATTTTTTTTCTTGTTTTTCGCCTCTAAAACCTAGGTGCGTCTTATGGCCAGGTGCGTCTTATGGAGCGAAAAATACGGTAAGCTTCGGCAATAAAACCTGGAAGCTGATTGGTTTCTATGCAGAAGTGCACCAGATTTTGCACTCTCTAGCTTTAGTAAATAAATCCCAATGTGTCATTCTGAATGGAGTGTCAGGGATCTTTTTCACTCTATATTATATTATTTGAGAGAGATTTGGTTGGAAGTAGAACACCACACAAGTGTTTTATATGTTTGAGGCACTACTTATGTACAGTATGTGTATGCACTTTATTGTTTGTTTTTATGGTGATGATATTTAGGATTTTAGTGATATTATTGAGGTTTGAAATCCATCATAAGTAATTTTTTCTTAAAGGAGCAGCACAATACTAAACTATTATCCTTTTTGTTAACAAAAAATACACATTTGCTAGCTGAGGTAAGGTATTTTGATGTATGAATGTAAAAATGTACTGCGTGCATACTAAACTCTGCACAATATACTGTGTGTGTGTGTATATATATATATATATATATATATATATATATATATACATACACAGTGCTCAGACTAATTGAGTACACCCCTTTTGAGAAGTAAGATTTTAGTCAATATCTTAATGAACACAAGCACACTTTACAAAATTTTGACAAAACTGAGTTTTATGGAATATTTGTTTAGCTCATTATATAAAAGTAAGGTTAATAGTCACTCCAGAGTACAGAGTCCCAGTAGTCTTCTTTTTCAGCATTGGCCCTGGCAAATTCTAGGTGGGCTTTTTTGTTCATGGGCTTTAGGACAGGTTTCCGTGGTGGACACACCCATGCATGCCACTCCTCTGCAGTGTACGCCGTATTGTGTCACGGGAAACAACCACCCCAGTTTGGCTTTCTATTTCTTTAGCTATTTACAATGAACTTGCATGGCGATTTTTCTTCCACCCTTCTCATCAGAAGACGCTCCTGTTGAGGAGTTAACTTCTGTGGACAGCCTGGACTTCTCTGTGAGATGGTTGCAGTTCCATCTTTGTTACATTTTTGTATCACTTTTTCTACAGTATTCTGACTGATAAGTAAAATGTTGCTGATCTTCTTGTAGCCTTCACCTTTCTTGTGTAAAGAAATTATTTTCTTTCTCAGGCCTTGTGACATTTCTATTCCATGTGGTGCCATTGCTGTGAGCATGAAATGGGAAGGGGTTTTCTTTGTTAAATAATTCCCTTTTATAATCAATTGTCTACTGGACACCTGTTTAACCCCCCTGGCGGTATTCCCGAGTGTAGTTTGGGGTTAACTTTCAGCACCACAAGCGGTAACCCCGAGCTACACTCGGGAATACCCTGCAGCGGATACCTTCTGCACTTACCTTGTCCTTCACTCCCGTGATGTCCCCCCGGCAATGTCCTCCGGCCGATGTCGGCATCTGTCTTCCGGGTTCCGTTCCCTGCGAAGTCAGGACGTACGGGGGACGGAACTGGAGGGAAATTTAAAAATGTCAAAAAGTGACATTCACTAATACACTAAAATCACATAGTAAAACATTACTGTATGAAACCATTTCACATACATTTTGTCCCGAGTGCTTTGTCCTGTGCCCTGCCTGCATTTTTACTGTTCTTTCTGCCTGGAAACTGAGAAACGTCCATGGCGTCCAAAAAGCACCCCTTTTGCTCAAAAGCGGTTTTAGACCAGCTAGAGAACAGTGATAGTAAATTTAGTACCACTTGCAGAATTGAGTGATAATGATTCGTGGGGTGCTTGTAGCCGTATTAGTGCATTTGCGACAGAAATGCATTGCTTTTGATGTATCTTATCTGTAGCCTTTTTTTTTTTTTTTTTTTTTCTCAATCCCTTCTAACATTCTGCTTAAACTTTGTGATTTGTATAGTACTGCTTGGACTTTGAAGAAGGGGACATACCCCGAAAGCTTGTCCTCAAAATTGTATGTTAGTGCAAATAAAAAAAGTATCACGGACAGTACTCAAATGATTCGTGGGGAAATTCGTCATCAGACACTGAAATCGATTTTGCAACTATGCTCACTGATGTGCAAACTGGCGCTATTTTTCACATTTCAGTGTTTTTGGTTTGTTTATATTATAGAAATAAATTTATAATTTTTATATTATTATTTTTTATGATTATTTATTAAATTATAATTTATGATTTCGTGTTTCA